AAAAAATCACCACCGCCATCATATTGTGCGCTCGGTCACATGCAACGGATCGTATAAACCAATATATCAACCGAAATTTCTACTGTGCGCTCAGTCATTTTAAACTTTTTCATCAACATCTATTTCTTTGAATATAATTTTAAAGTCCATCTAAAAATTGCATGCGCTAACCAACAAGAACTAAACCATTATTTTTGTGGGAAGAAATTCAGTATTACAACTTGGATCTCTTTCAGTAGTTACTTTTATTAAAAAATAATTTTTAAAATATTGAAAAATGCTACGGTCCGTTAGGAACCATTCCGTCGGGAGTTTTTTTTTTTTTGGTACAGGGACATTCTGGTTTCTGGATTCACAGGGGAACCGACTAATCCGTCGGGAGTTTTAACCGTTGTATCATCATGTAGTTAGTATAGAATAGATGATCAAACGGTTAAAACTCTAGACGGAATGATTTTGTAACGAGACCGTACTATTTTCCTAGAATGTTATTGGATTACAAATTTTATTACTGTTGTAGGTTGTTTGGTAGATAGCTATTTTAGTAAGCTTTTTACACCCCAAATAAAATTTTGAAGAGTTGGACACAGTATTGTTTCAAGCTTTAGCTTTTTGGATAAAAGAAACTAATTTTTAAAAAAGTTGGATAGATGAACGTTTTCAAATAGAGAAATTAAATTTAAATAACATTTTATATAAAAATAATATTTTTCTCCTTAAAAAAAAAAAAGGTTATTTCCTTTATTTAGTTGATAATCCAGACAATTATATGGGTCCTTGAATAATCAAAATAGTTTTTGTCTATTAAATCGTGGGTGGATCTTCTTGTCATTAAACGCCCATAAAATTCTCATGGCAAAAAATGAGAGAATACAAAAACGCCCACCGTGGGGCTCGAACCCACGACCACAAGGTTAAGAGCCTTGCGCTCTACCGACTGAGCTAGACGGGCTTTTGTTGTTAAGTACGTTACTTAATTTAAGTTTTAAATAACAAAACGAAAAAGAAAACAGAAACGCCGTTGCCGGGGATCGAACCCGGGTCACCCGCGTGACAGGCGGGAATACTCACCACTATACTACAACGACTTGATGTTAAATGACGTACTATAACCTTTACAAGTTGTAGAACCAATGTTCACTAAATTTTGTTTATACCCCAAACTGATCTATAATCCAAATCCCCCCAAAGGAACATGCGACAATACTCACAACTATATTACAACGACGATTTGTTGTTTCGTTTTCCAAATTCCAAGTATTTCGCTACCTTATAACATAGTTATTACAGTCACTGTTGAAGATCATGAGCAGCTCTTCAGTTTTCTTAAGCATGCATGGCTCTCTCTCTCTCTCTCAAATTGAGTTTTTCTTAAATCGTGTCCAGCTTTTATCTTGTTTTTTTATTTTTTTTTCTTTGTGCTTCAGATGGCGTCGTTCTCACTGTAAACGACGCCGTTTCTGTTTCGTTTTATTAATTCCGTTTAAAGCTTTGTACGACATCGTTTAGGTTACTGCACACGACGTCGTTTTAGGTTGTCGTCTTGCATGATTGTGAGAGCTTTATAAGCTCGACCATGTACGTACTTTCATTTTGATTTTCAACTTTCTGAATGAAGTGAGCTAAGAAAATCCCAAAAATTGATGTTGTGATTTTGTGAGGAAAACAATCAATTTTACCGTCACGAATCTTGTAACACTCATTACTCTTTCTTCCACGTTTATCCCACCAAATCATATGGTACATACATCCAAAGTGGCAACATTTCAAGGTCTATATTGACATGAAATCAACATAATGTGATATGTTCAAATTCAAATAACAGTCCAATGGTTTGTATGGTCCCATACCATATCACAAAAGAAACAAGAATTTACAGAATTAATTACAATCCAAAATTCTTTCAACATCTCTCTCTCTCTCACACACACGCACAAACAAAAGCCATCAATCGAGCCGCAACTTACTTGTCGAGCATTGGCTCCACATCGTCTTTTGGTTGCAAGCGAGTGGCTGAGGACACACCACTTGTTGCCGATGTGTTTGTCGTGGTAAAATTGATGGGACTGATGATATCATTGGTGTTGTTGGAAGTGGAGATATTAGTGGTGTCGGTAGCGAAAGTGGTGGTTGAGTCGTTGAAATTCCAGTCGGTGAGGTAGCTGGGGCGTGTCGTGACCGGGGCCACCTCAATGTCCCCGCAGATCATGGACACCACTCGGGACATTGCGGGCCGTAGGCCTGGGGGGCCCTGGGTGCATAGGAGGGCAACCCCGATAATCCTTATCGCCTCATCCATGTCTTGTTGCTCGAGGGTGGGGTCCACAAGCTCCATCTCACGCTTGGACTCGTGCAGGTTCCAAGCCTGGCGAGAGAAGAAAAAAAAAATGCGATTGGAAGTCAATTTTTTTTTTAGATTTGATTTATTGAATGAAGTGGGTTAAGATTAAAAAAAGTTGATTGAGTGAAAATTTGAATTTGATTTTGAGTTTGTGAATAGATATGAGTTAAAATATGAAACTGATGTGATGTAAAGGAATTAAAATAATGATTGGAAGTTAAAAATATGTGAGTAGATGGAATGATGAATTCTATTGGAAATTGTGTTGAATATGATATTATTTAATTATATTGATAATATTGAGGAGAATTAAATTGGATTGAATTTGAGTTGGATTTTGAGTTAAAAACTTATATCCAACCATAGTTACAACCAAAAAAATAATTATAGGCAAGTCAAAACCAAAAAAATTATGTAAGCTTTTCACTTCTTCATTTGGCTTTTTTACTTCGTATGATTTATATGAGGTGACTGATCAAGATAATAATCAATTGCTACGATTGCTTTTGAATAGAGTAAGCATGCATACGTACCCAATCGAGAAGATATGTCTTATCATCTTGCAAACTCGAGTCTGAATTCGATCTTCCACTGACGATCTCTAAGGCAACGACTCCATAGCTGAACACATCAGCCTTCTCCGTGAGATGCCCTCGCAGGGCGTATTCCGGTGCTAGATAACCACTACAATGAAAATGGATTCCGAAAAATAATTAAATAAAGAAATAAATAAAAAGGAACTGAAAACTGAGAATTTGTGATAGCATCACTTACATTGTGCCTGCTACTCCAGTGCTCATGTGTGTCATTTTGTCATCATATAACTTGGCCAACCCGAAATCCGAGATCTTAGGGGCAAGTTCGGAATCAAGCAAGATGTTACTAGCTTTTACGTCCCGGTGAACAATTCTAGGCCGTGATTCCTCGTGAAGATACGCTAGACCCCTCGCCACCCCCAAGCAGATCTGGTAACGTGTTCCCCAGTCGAGGAATAGATTTTTCCTTCCTGCATTTTCATCAATTCATGTCATTCAAGACATGCATACAACATCATGAATCCTAAGGGGGGTGTATTCAATTGGATTTCTAAATACACTTTAAAACTTTAAAAATCATGGTGTATTCAATTTAGATTTGTTAAGAATTTTAAAAGTTTTGGGGTATTCATTGAGAATTTAAAAAGTCTAACAAAATTACGCGGTATTTAACTTATTTGACACTAGGATTTCTTAAAACTTTTTAAGATTTGGTTGGATTCCTTAAAGAAAAAACCTTATAGAAATCCCACTTTAAATCCCACCTCCAGACTTACGGGGGGTGTGTTCGTTTCGGAATTCAAGTGACATTTAAAGACTTTTTAAGATTTAAGATTTTTGAGGATTTTCAGATTTTAAAAGAATCCTATAAAATACCAAGTCTAAAGGTGGGATTTGTAGTGGGATTTTCTACATGTTTTTTTCTTTAGAAATCCCAGCAAATCTTAAAAAGTCCTTATAAATCCTAACCTTAAATTACTTAAATACACCTAGATTTCGTAAGACTTTTTAAAATCCTAATTGAATACCTCAAGAATTTTAAAAAATCTCAAAATGTCACTTGAAATCCCAAAATGAACACAAGGGATAATTGCACCTACACCCCTCAACTCAACCCCAAATATCAAATAATAAAAAAGCTGACGCAGTCTTGTGATTTACCAGGTCCAAACAATATTTGGTCGAGACTCTTGTTCTCGAGATACTCATAGACGAGCAAGCGTTTATCACCCTCGATACAACATCCGTACAGTTTCACGAGGTTACGGTGCTGCACGGCGGATATTGTGGCAATCTCGGCCAGAAACTGACTCTTTCCCTGACGTGATGCCACTGACAGCTGCTTCACTGCAACTGCTCTTCCATCACCAAGTGAACCCTGTTTCCCAAGTACAACAATTCATTCATTACTCTTCAGTCAATATGCAATAAAAATTTCTGAATTCATTAAAAACAAAAAGAAAAAAAAAAAATCATTTTTCAACATTTTTATTGTCCTCAAATTTAGTATTCACCTTGTAAACAGGTCCAAAACCTCCCTCTCCCAGCTTATTATCAGCATTGAAGTCATTCGTAGCAGCTTTAAGTTCGGCAAAACTAAAAGTGTAAGGTCGTGCTTCGAGCCCCAATAACTCTGTAAAAAACCACAGTAATTAATACACATATTTGAGGCTGTTAAGTTTTAATGAAAAAGATCAGTCGAGTCATTAGTTTCTGTTGTAAAAAGAATTGCTTACCTTCATCCTCCAAGTCCTTCTGACGTTTTCTCCTTTGATACACGTAAAAGTATACCGTAAGTAAACAAATCACACTGACAGCAACGACTGGAACAACAATACCCACAATAAGACCAGTCCGGTTTCTGCTCCCGCTCGGAGGAATATTGGAAACAGTTGAGTTGAAATCTGTCCGGAAAAGTTTATTAATCAGTATAAATTTCAGAGGCATATAAACAAAGAAAACAAAACTTCCGAATATTCATTTAGCCCAGCCTGGCCGGCACTGATGGTATTTAGCCAGCTACTTCCACACTGTATTCATTTACTTACTTGCAGTTGCCCTTATTCCCGAAATTAAAGGCCCGTTGACAGCTCGAGAGGGCCCACAGCAAGTTCCCTTTCCTGCCCAAAATAGATGGATTTCAAGGTAGTTGTCAGTCACTCGCACATTGTAGCTCCTGTCAACAGCTCTTAAGGATACGCCACCGGCCTCTCGTCGTATGTCGAAATCCCTTTCCTCCAGATTCCCCTGGAAATGGATAAATCATTAAACAAAACAAGCAGAGTTATCAAATGAGGAACTATACAACTTAACTGAAATATACATATATATTTAAAACAAAAAAACCGCAAACCTGGAGGTATATATCAAAAACACGCCGGCCACGGCTCTCCCAGGTCCTGGTATTGAGGACCTCAGTCTCTGTAAACTGGAGCCTCACTGTATAGTTACCGTTTTCGAGGCCCAGCCCGTAGTATCTCAAAGAGCCCGAAGAGGCCCGAGCAGTTTGGTACAGCTGCGAGTCCAGAGTATTCACAACAGGCGAAGTTGTCTGGGTCGTGTACTGCGGGTTTGTGTTGTCGGCAACGAGCCCAGCGTTACTGACAGCCCACCGGCGGTCGTTAGTCACATAGTATGTGGCGGGGCCAAGTGTCTCGTTCTCCCTCTCGTACAGAGTCCGGTCGAAAGATATGATCTGGGGGCCGCCACATTTGATTGCGAATCTTGAATCTACCGAATAGGATCCACCCAGTGGAATTTTCATGAATATATAAATAATTTTGAATAGTATTTGGCGCATTGCTTCTTAGACGCATTGCTTCTTAGACTTTTGTCAACCATAAGGTCATGCTTTTAGTCAAATTTGTAGGTATTCATGTGCAAAATAGAAAGTTTACTTGCTAATTCGCGCCAACTACTGGAAATTCATCTCATTACTTACATACTGGAACGCGTCGATTGCAAGGAAAATCCCTCTGAAGACAGTTCAAACCAGGGGGTAAAGCACTGGACAGCAGAAAAAGAGAGATGAGTAAATATGGCTAATATATGAGAAAACTAAATATACCAAAAACCAACATATAGTTGTTGTGACAAACTAATCGAATCAAAATCTAAAAAATATTCAGCTCGATAGTTGGTTATGTACACACTTGCTGTTTGAACCTTCAATGGTGAAGTTGTTGGCAACCAGATTACTGCACATGAATAAAACATGATGAATCAAAAGTCGGCCCAGAAAGGTAGTCGAACTATTTCATAAAAAGCAATTTTTTAGAGTTAACAAAATGTTTTCATCAAACATACAGTTGTAGGTTCTGTTCCCTGACCCAAGATGGAAAGCTTCCCGATAACCCGTTGTACGATAAATCTCTGCATGCAAATAATAGCAACTAAGTACTCATGGCTCGTGACTCAGCTTACGAAAGTAAAGGAAATCAGAAACCATTAAATCATTTAAATTCCTCACATATTTCGGAGATCAGGACTCTTTTGCAATGGCAATCCACCTGTTAGCCTGTTGCTACCCAGAAACCTGATGAATAAATAGAAAAAAAAATAAAAAAATAAATATAATAAAACGGCTTTACGATAATTGTTTTTTTTTTTCCCAAGTTGTGCATAGAGAAGATAGTTTATATGGAATGATTACAAATTGGTCAAGGTGCTGTGATTGAAAAGTGAGTCTGGAATTCTTCCTGTCAAATTGTTGAAGCTCAAATCCCTAAAACAGAAAACATTTTCGGATAATTTTAAGCAAAAGCCGTCATACGAAAAATAAATAACATCGTAGTGGATCCCACATGATAGTGCATGGACAATTTGTACTTACAGGAGCTGCAAGCGCTGAAATAAGGAAAACGACGGTAACGAACCAGAAATATTGTTGTTCCTCAAGATTCTGCCAAGATAACAAGCCATGATTAGCATTCGCCAATGGAAGCAAGGGAACATTTGCATGACAGAATTTGAAAGTGGAGATTTTCTTACAACGTAGACAGAGAAGTCATATCCCTAACAAATTCCAGTGACGAGCTACCGTTCAAGATATCACTTATTCTCCTACACATAACATAACATATATACATGATAAAAAAAAAAAAAATTAGCTCCTTTAGAGCGCCAACATAAAGCTTGAAACAAAAGACAATTCGCATTGATCTCTGACATGATAAACAAAGATATATAGCCACAGGTATCATCTATAGTTTCAGAAGCTCCGAAGGTTTCGTTTGCTAAATTGTAACTAAGTCGAACATTCATTTATTTATAATTAAATCCTAAACAATATCACTGAAATTCACGAGTGGAAGAAGTTGATTAAACTCACAAGTCAACCAACAACGTTAAATTAGATAATGACGGTGGTATTGGACCTTGAAATGCATTTCCCTGCAACCTCCTGCATAAAAACAGACAATGGTGAAAGTTAATCTATGGAGTACCTCAGCATAATTAATAAAAAGTGGATTTTCGCTCACAGCTGAGTGAGGCTGGACCAATTTCCTATGAAGTCAGGTATCTGACCTGTCAGCTCATTATCAGATGCCCACCTGATAATAACCCAGCAAAAATCATAACCAAATAGATCGCATGATCATCAAGAGTTTGATTTAGTGTTTCAGTTAGAATTCACTTTTGGCAGGTAGAGTAAAATAATAAAATAATAAGAATAAGAACAACAGCAATAAAGACTTACATCGTCTGCATGTTTATCAGATTAGCAAATGATAACGGTATTGGACCACTAATTCCGGAACCATGAATGTACCTGACGTGATGATAACAAAGACCAACGAGGAAAAAGAAAAGAAAGAAAAGAAAAATAAGGTCAGCCAAATTGTTCAGGTGGTGAATGTAAATGTAGAACATATTCTTTAACCATGATTAAGTTCTACACAACGCATACATTTGTTCGAGCCTTGTTAAATTCCCGAACTCCAATGGTATGGGGCCAGAGAAGTTGTTTGCAGTGATGGATCTGCACATTATGTTCAAATAAATACGCATAAGTAAATATATATATTGGCATTTTTTTTTCTCCTAATACGATTTATGATACAATCGCAACTGTTTTTTCCTAGTTAAACAGCAATTTAAACTCACATTGATCGTAAGTCAGTCATCAGTCCGAATTCCCTAGGAAGCTCCCCTGATAATGCATTCAAGCCAAAGCTCCTAAAAGTTTGAAGAAATTACAAATTTCAAGATTGGGTCTATATATTCAGTAAACAACAAAAATAAGAAGAAAAAAGATGGTAAAAGTACAAGTATTGCATCCGAGTGAGATTCCCAATGGACGAAGAAATAGGACCAGTAAAATAATTTTGGCGCAGATCTCTGTAAACAGCAGAAAGAAAATCAGTGTACATATATAAAGATATAAATTAAATTTATATTATACAACTATATATCTGAATAAAACCCAGTGCAAATGATCGTACAAATCATCGAGATACGTCAAGCTCCAAAGATCATCGGGTAATGAGCCTTGAATGTCCAGGTCGTACAGCCGCCTGCAAAATAATGAGAGATAGCAGGGTAACAATCAAATTGTTCATAGGACTTTGGACAATCCAAGTCGAATTAAACAGAAAAAAGTAACTGACATTGCTAGTGGATTACAACAGCTAAAATTAAGCAGAGATGTGGTTATATAATTATCTCAGATATTTTGATAAAAGTATCTCTCTCCCACTCAATTCACTTACAATCCAGTGATGTGGCAAGTGGTGTTAGAATTGTAGGAGCAGTCACATTTGATGCCTGGATTAAGATTGAGAAGTGGGGTTGTCGTGTCTGAGGCCACACCGCTGCATAACTCACCACTAATGTTCCATGTATCCATGGCTGTAATCCCCCACCGCTGGAACAAGCCATTCAAAATTCTTGCTAAAAAAAAACAGAGAAATGATTTACTTGAAATCGAACTTCATGCGAAAATGGATCAATTCTCAAGATAATGTATCAAGAGGTGAAAAAATTTACAGGCTTAAGAATGAGGAATGTTATTGCTTGAAATATTGTGACAAAACAGCATATCAAAGGAATTAAATATATGGTCCATATTGCATGTAATTTCACTTTTATTAACTCTTTTTTAATTTAATTTACACTTTTGTTAATATAACTAAAATAAAATTCCAATTATATTGTAGATACTAGATAATACAAGGTGTTGCCATTAAACAGTTTTAAATGTAAATATTTTGTTTCACATGAAACTTATGTCCCTATATGCATAACTTAAGGGTTTTCCGAATCTAAGTGCCACCTTTTGGTCCTTCATAATCCTACGTATCATTTGTGGTATTTAGGAATCCTACATGTCAATTTAATGCTTTGGAGTAATCAAGCTATTTGTTTTATCTATATTTACCAAATGAGTACTTGTTAAGAAGATTATTTTTAAAATTAACTAATAATAACAACTAAATTTGATTTAGTGTTTAAACTTTAAATACTTTTACAAAAAAAAAAATTACTATTTATAATTCAAATGATATATTATAATTTTTTTAATTCATTTGAGAAAACTACTTTGTATCTAAGTTAGTTTAAATAACCTTATTTTTTTAATTAATGCTAATCGATAATTTAATTATAATTAAAAAGATAAATAAAATTATTTATTTATTTTGTATGTATAATATAGATGTCAAATCGAAGTTCATCAACACATCATTAATTGATATATTAAGCATAAAAAATTGTTAATAAATTAAAAACTTATTAACTTTAAAGTATGTAACGAATTTATAATTTATAAAAAAAATTATGAAGAAAAAATAAAGATTGGAAAAAAAAAATATTATACCTTATAAACTACGTCTACAACAGGAAAAGATATTAAAACATAATCAATGCTCTTAAGAAGGACCATAAATATCAATTTATTTATGGATATTTTCAATTCTAGTTAATTTTAGATTAGAAATAAATTAAATTTCATCCAAGTCGAACAAAAAAGCTTAATTATTTTATTTATTTATTTATTTTTTTTTTTTGGTGCAACAAAGCTTAAAAAAAATTGCCGCATGGGATATCGAAGTGTGCGAGTCTGCACTTAGGCTCATCATATTCTGGAATTATATATAGGGGGATTAGGATTTGTTTTGAATAATAAAAGGGAAAATAATTGTGAGCAACCTGAACTATACGTGTTTTTGGGATTTGCAACCTAAAGTATTTTTTTTTGGTAAAATGCAACTTGAACTACATACACAATCACTATTTGCACCTCCGACCACATTTTGATCGTCCGATCAATAGCAAAAAAGGACATGTGTATGGTCAAGATGTGGTCGAGGGTGCAAATAGTGATTGTGTATGTAATTCAGGTTGCATTTTACCAAAAAAAAAATATACTTTAGGTTGCAAATCCCAAAAACACGTATAGTTCAGGTTGCTCACAACTATTTTCCCATAATAAAAACACTAAACTATATTAAAGTATAAATATATATTAAAACTTAATAACTTTTTTATTTGTAATCAATTTTCATATATGGTATATCCAGGGGCGTATCCAAATGGGAACCAGTGTGGGCCTAGGCTCACGCTGGAAAGAAATTTTTTACAACTTAGTATCCATTAAGGCCTCATTTAAAAATGGCTTAATACTCCAAAATGGCTAAAAACTTCATTAATAAAGAAACAAAAATTAAAAATAGTATCATACTAAGCATAAAGAAGACAACTAGAGAAAATAGGAATGAATTATTTATTTTGGTGAACGTAAATCTATCAATTCTATTTATTAGGTTTGAAAGAAAAAAAAAAAACATTTATTCCTCTTTTTTAGCATTCTTATTAGCTAACTTGTTGTTGTTTCTTAATTATCTAAAAAACTGATTTGAAAAAAAAATATAAATTGTAGGACTCTTACAGCTTGATATATTAGATAAAGAACTTTATACAATATAATTAATTTTTTATATAACTCATGGAGATATATTCTTATAAAGTGGCTAGTAAAATAAAAAAATCATGTGAAAATATCTCAATATTAGTTACTTTTAGTCTAACTATACTTGATGTGAATCCTAAAATTGTTGAGCCAA